GAAATCACACAACGCATGACCTCTAGTCAAAGATCTTTCAATGCAAAATGATATCATTCGCGATGACCATTGGCAAAATCGTATAGAAATGGATTGTCGAGCAACTTTTATTCAGTTCAAGACATAGAGCTACCGGTTTAGATATTGATCTTTCATAGTTGCACGAGCATTTCTTGTAATGCCATTTGCCTGTTCACAATCGCCGCTCTCTCCTACATCATCAGCGGACCGGTTCACATTTTCGCGTCATCACTTTTCCTGATGATCGTCTTCGGATCAGGTTGCAAGCGCCGATAGTCTTTCTGTGCAGCCTCGCAAGCCCTATTTTTGCCCTATCAATATTTTTACTATCACTACTATTTCTTTGAAGCAAATTGCAGCTATATTGTAACAGTAGAGTAGTAGAGACAAAGTCTTCATAGCTGCCCGTATCCAGGAATAGCTTCACAGCTTCAGCTTTAGATCGATAATTGATTTTTAGCTTCAGGTCGATAATTGATTGGTCGACAAGTTGATATTTATTGTTTTGTGACAAACGTTAGTGGATTTCGTTAGTCATGTGATCTATGTGGTACGTTAATAATCAGTTAGTTTTTAACCTTTTTTTAAGCGTTGTAGGCCTAAGGACCGGCATACGTTGAGGTTTAGAGATCTCTGCGATGACGTCCCAATACATAGAACGAATGAGAATTGATTGAATTTGCGTTGGCGTTGGAATGTCGAGTGGAAGTGAGACATGCGTGCGTGTGCAGGAACCCGTTCTGGTCTCTAAAAATACATGATATCCATCAAAAAACAATGCGACGTGTGTATGAGAAGAATGAAAGTGAGCAGTAGGCCCTATGGCTTTTTTGGCCTCATATGGGATCATGATGCGGCAATACTTAAAGGACGAATTCACGATGGAAAAGCAACCCATTTCAAATTAACTAGGGATGGTGAGTGGTACACGAAAGAAGGAAAAACCATGAGAAACGGCCCAGAACCCGAGAAATGGGACCCCTTCCTTGCCCGTTGATTTGCGACTCTCATCGCTGTGCCCTCTTCAACACTACGCTCTCTCTGCTATCTAATCACTCGCCACGTATAGACCTGCGGCGAGTGATTAGATAGTCGGTGGGCGTACCCCGCCAACCGCGCCAAGAGTGAGCCATGCTAGATCGCCGAGGTCAAATCTTTCGCTGCCAATTGCGCGTCAGTCAGCACCCTCAGGAGGTCCGCCTGTCTCCCAACTAGGCAATTTCCCCTTCTTCGACCTTCATTCTAATCGTGAATTCCTAGTTTAACCTGATAAGAAGGTTGGGCCGGGGAGAGCGATAGCATTATAATCCTCAGTACGAAACGAAAAATTTGCAAGCCATCGGAATGTGGCCATTTCGGATACGGCACGATGTGGAGGCAGGGAGGTATCTGTTATCACCATTTGAAAAATCTGACAACCCTCCCTCCTCTATAGGTAGTTTGATACCCCTCATCACCATTATCAGGCTTTAGGGAAATCTCTGATACGACCATCCTTCCCAACCCATGACCGCCACCCTTACCACCACTGCTTCCACGGTAATTGATCTTTTTCCTTTGAGACGGCCGTCAACTAGGAGGGGGGATGGAGGTAAATTTGTGTTAAGCGGAACCACTAGTTTTGAGCACTTCGTGCTCCAAATTCGGGCTCCTTTCCAACCTTATGACCTTCAACAACCCTAAATAGGACCCTTCTTGTTGAGAACTGCGGGCTTGACCCTGGTAGGGGATGTAGCATAGAAGAAACCTTTCGCGCAGATTTCAAATTTA